GCAGTTCCTACTATCGCCAAATAAATCTCATTCTCTTTATTTTTAAGTTGTGGTCTCCCCAACCAGTTTGTCCATTCTGTGGTCACAGGACAGTCCTGCCATTCTAGGAGCAATTCTGGTAAACCTTTGCTGTATACTCTCTACGCAATAATATCTTTCCTGAAATAAGATGACCAAAACTGTACACTGTACTCCAGATGCAGTCTAACCACACTCGGATACGATTGAAGCAGGACTTCACTACTCGTGTACTCTAATCTTCTTGCAATAAAGATTAAACATTGCATTTGCCTTCCTAGTAGCTTACGACACCTGCATGTTATCCTTCAGTGACTTCTAGATAGCGGCACCCAACTTGCTTTGTACATTTGTACCTTCCATCCCCTCAACATTTTAAGAAATACTGTGTATATCTGTTCTTCCCACCAAAGTGGAAACCCTCAGTTTTTACCACATTATATTCCAACAGCATATTCTTGCCTATTCACTAAGCCTGTCCAAATCTTCTCAAAAAGGTTTTACATCTTCCTCACAATACATGTTTTCACTTGGCTTTGTATCAACTGCACGTTTGGACGCATATCCAAATCATTGATATATGTTGTGAACAGCTGGTACCCAAACACCCATCCTTGCATGACTTCACCAGTTGTTATAATCTGCCAATATGAGAAATTACCTTTATGTTTTTGCTCTGTTTTCTGTCTGTTATCCGAGCATTAATCCATACCAGTACCTTACTCCCTATCCGAAAGTCCAGTTTTATAGCTGGACTCTTAATCCAGAGACCCGGGTGGTGTTCTGGGAACCTCGATTCGAATCCCAAAAGTTTGGAATTAAGAGTTTGATGATGACCATGAATCCATTGTGATTGGTAGGGAGACTCATTTTGTTCACTAATGTCCTTTTAGGGAAGGAAACTGCATCCTTACCTGGTCTGGCCTAAATGTGACTCCAGACACACAGCAGTTCTTCACTACCCTCTGGGCAATAAATGCTGACCTAACCAGTGATGCCCTCATCTTGTGAATGAATGAATAAAAAAAACCCACCAAATTTAATTTTGCTAACCAACGACCTATGCAGGGAACTTATCAACAGCGTTCTGAAAATCAGTGTGTTAAAACATCCTTTGACTCACCTTTATCGATATTTTTTGTCAGTAACATCCTTGAAAACTTTAACAAGCTTTTCTAACACAGTTTTCCATTGACAAATCCATGCTAACTATGCCCGTCAGATCATTTTTAGCCAAATGTCCATGTATGATGTCCACTGAAAAGCCTGTAGTTCCCTATTTTTTCTCTTGCTCTTTCTTAAACAGTGAGCATTTACGAGCTTCCACTCTGTAGAAATATTCCAAAATCTGTAGAATGTTGGATGATGATCGCTGCTTTCGATCATCACCCTGGAGGTAATTTGGAAGACACAGCAGAAATCCATCCCAAAGAAGCAGAAATCTGCTACAGGGAGGACAAGGCAACTGTGGCTGATAAGGGAAGTCAGGGACAGCATAAAAGTGAAAGAAAAAGCATACAATGTGGTGAAGACTAACAAAGCCAGAGGACTGGGAATCCTTTAAAAACCAGCATAGGATAAATGAAAAAAGCACTAATTGGGGAGAAAATGAAATATGAACGAGTAATAAAAAGGAAGATTGCAAAAGTTTTTTTTTAGATCTATGAAAGGTAAGAGTAGACATTGGATTGCTGGCAGATGAGACTGCAGAAATAGTAATGGGGTTCAAAGAAATGGTGGAGGAACTGAATACGTACTTTGCATTAGTCTTCACATTGAAAGACACCGGCAGCATACCAGAACCTCCAGAGAGTCGGGGGCAAAGTGGGTGTAATGGCCAGGAAGTCTAGTTCTCACTAAGTAGGAGGGGCTGGGGGAGCTGAAAGGTCTGAAGGTGGATAAATCGGCTGGAATGGATGGACTACACCCCAGAGTTCTGAAGGATATAGTGAAGAGATTGTAGAAGCATTGATGATTTTTCAGGATTCACTGGATTCAGAGAGGGTCCCAGAGGAGTGGCAAATGGCGAATGTAATACTCCTGTTTAAGAAGGGAGGGAGGCAGGAGATGGGAAATTATTTGCTGGTTAGCCCCCCATTGGTTGTTGGTAAGACTTGTCTGCCAAATAAGAGCCCATGCTGTTAGGGCCTCAAATTCTCTGGCAAATTCCATAGGCTCACCACTCTCTGGGTGAAGAAACTTCTTGTCATCTCCACCCTAAGTGTCCTATCCCATATCCTTAGACTTTGACCTCCGGTTCTGGACTCCTTGGTTTTTGAGAGCATCTGCCCTGCATTTGCCCTGTCTGGGCCTGTTAGAATCCTATAGGTTTTTGAGACTTTCTACTCCCCCACCACTCTTCTAAACGCCACATATTTCTGAAGGTGCTCAAAATCAATCTCCTTTTTCCCATTGACAAGGCGTTAGTTAAGTTCACCAATGACATTTCAGTGCTGGAGCCCTTTGTGCTTTGCAGTTTGTTCAAGTAGGTTGTATTCTTGTACTTGCATTGTTGGTGTATTCTCCTCCTTGTTGCCTTCTGGTCATCTGCAGAGGGTGTCTACTCACCCGAAATCCAAGACAAAGGTGTGCTAAATCTTCATCAGAGATGTGTTCCATATTGAGAATCTGCAACCTAAGACACCACCAAACTACAAGAGTACCAAGCCTGTGTACTCTATGCCCTCCTCTCCAATGTGAGATCTGGTCAACTTATGCTAGGCAGAAGGAAAGGCTGAAGACTCCAGCAATTTCTTTTGCAGCAGAAGGCCACCAAATCAGATGTCCTGGAGCATGCTAATTCCACCAGTATACACCTAGATTTTAAGCTAATGACAATTATACTTGCTTGACCGTGTTCATCAGATGAATACAGTCATATATATCCAAAGATTTTCCATATAGTAAACTGGATACTGAATCACAATCTCCTGGACATCTATACCTTCACTACAAGGAAGCATACAAGTGAGATCTGAAGATGGCAGTTGTCGATAACTGAGATGGTTATGGACAGCCATGATCTGTTGAGGCTGACTGTTTGAAAAGGGATTGGAAGTGGAAAGAAACATAAAGTACGGCTGGCTGATAGGGCTTGAATCAAATAGAGGACATCAAATTGTGTGCCTTCTCAGGTTACTGCCTTCATTTACTGTGGTAGAGACTGCCACTTTCCTGAGTCACAAAAGTGGACTTCACTCTATATCTTCACGTAGTTGACCACAATGACACAGCAATGTCTAGTGAGAGGGTCACCATCATAATCTAAAAGTCCTCCAAGTGATCACTTTGCCAAGGTCCTTGGGATTGTTCTTTCCTCCCAATTTTATGCCCTTTAGTCCATCAAAAGATGTCTTTAATGTGATGAATTAGAAGGGCCAGAGAAAAGGGGGCTGAGACCATGTTTGTTGCTGACAATGTTAGTTCTTATTGATTCATTTACCATGGTGCAAGGAGTTGATTGAAGCAGCATGTAGGTCTTATGGCACAGATGATTTCAGAAAAGTTAAGGTCAGAAGTCACATGGTACCAGGTTAAAGTCGAACAGGTTTATTTGAAATCACAAGCATTCAGAGCACTGCTCCTTCGTCCCCTCCACATCAAAAAAGTTAAGGGGAAAGATAAGAAAGGAGTTAGTGCCGGAAGAAGTGTAACTAGCTTCTTGGGTTTTACCTTGAAACAGGTTATGAAGGAGCACAAAGGTACCAAGAGTGCATCTTTGAAGGATCTCTGCCCAGAGGACAAAAGGCGCATTGCTAACTTAATCAAAGAGCTTGCAAGGTGAGTTTTCGTAGCACAACTTGAAACTTCACAATGTAAATTTTAGTAGAGCATTGATATAAAGCCCAAAACACTGAAAATTAACTTAGGAATTATATCCAATTCCATTTTGCAGATTATAAGTCTTCCCATGATAAAAACAAAACGTTGTTTGGCAGCATCTGTGAAATGAAACAAGTTTGTTTCAAGTCAAGACTAACTTTAGAATTTGGGAGAAGAAAATAGTAAATACTGACTATCCTAACACCAGTGTCCACGGAGATGCAAATCCATTGACAGCAACCTTTTTTTGCCTTTTGGGCATTTGGCCACTCAAAACATTTCAGCAGATTATCAGGAATTTCACAAAATCCTGAATGAGTTCTATGTCAATTTTTTCCCCCAAAAGTTCAGGTTGACAGTGTCTGTAATATGCACGTAGATCGTAGAATCCCTAGTGTGGAAACAAGCCATTCAGCCCAACAAATCCATACCGTCCCTCTGAAGAGCATCCCACCCAGACCCATTCCCCTACTCCTGCATTTCACATGTCTAACCCAAACACCCCTGTTTACTATGGACAATTTCACATGGCCAATCCACCTACCCTGCACATCTTTGGACTGTAGGAGGAAACAGGAGCACCTGGAAGAAACCCACACAGGCACGTGGAGAATGTGTAAACTCCACACAGTCGCCGAAGGGTAGAATTGAACCTGCATACCTGGTGCTGTGAGGCAGCAGTGCTAACCACTGAGCCACCATGCCGCCCTACACATCTCCTTTCAACAAACATCAATATATCTTTGAGAGAAAGTAGGAACTGCAGATGCTGGAGAATCTGAGATAACCAGGTGTAGAGCTGGATGAGCACAGCAGGCCGAGCAGGAAAGCTGACGTTTTGGGCCTAGACCCTTCTTCAGAAATGGGGGAGGGGAAGGGGGTTCTGAAATAAATAGGGAGAGAGGGGGAGGCGCATAGAACTTGGATAAAGGAGAAGATAGGTGGAGAGGAGACAGACAATCAAAGAGGCGGGAATGGAGCCAGTAAAGGTGAGTGTAGGTGGGGAGTTAGGGAGGGGATAGGTCAATCCAGAGAGGACGGACAGGTCGAGGGGGCGGGATGAGGCTAGTAGGTAGGAGATGGGGGTGGGGCTTGAGGTGGGAGGAGGGGATAGGTGGGAGAAAGGACAAGTTAGGGAGGCGGGGACAAGCTGGACATCCAGTCCCTATACACCTGCATTCCCCATGCAGATGGCCTAAAGGCCCTCCGCTTCTTCCTGTCCCGCAGGCCTGACCAGTCCCCCTCCACTGACACCTTCATCCGCTTAGCCGAACTCGTCCTCGTCCTCACCCTCAACAACTTCTCTTTCAATTCCTCCCACTTCCTACAGACAAAGGGGATGGCCATGGGTACCCGCATGGGCCCAAGCTATGCCTGCCTCTTTGTAGGATACGTGGAACAATCCCTCTTCCGTACCTACACTGGCCCTAAACCCCACCTCTTCCTCCATTACATTTGATGACTGTATTGGCGCTGCCTCGTGCTCCCACGAGGAGCTCGAACAGTTCATCCACTTCACCAACACCTTCCACCCCAACCTTAAGTTCATCTGGACCATCTCTGATACCTCTGTCTCCTTCCTGGACCTCTCTGTTTCCATCTCTGGCAACCACCTGGAAACCAATATCCATTTCAAGACCATCAACTCCCACAGCTAGGTAGAATACACCTCCTCCCACCCACTTTCCAGCAAAAATGCCATCCACTATTCCCAATTCCTTCGCCTCCGCCGCATCTGCTCCCAGGATGAGGCATTCCACTCCCGAACATCTTAGATGTCCTCGTTTTTCAAGGACCACAACTCTTTTTCCGCACCCCCCCCCCGCCCCCGCAACCACCACCTCAGCGGCCGAGAACGCCCTCGACTGTGTTTCCCGCAACTCATCCCTCACACCCCCTCCCCGCAATAACAACCAAAACAGAATCCCCCTCGTCCTCACGTACCACCCCACCAACCTCCGGAACCAATGCGTCATCCTCCAACACTTCCGCCATCTGCAATCCGACCCTACCACCAAAGACGTTTTTCCCTCCCCACCCTTATCTGCTTTCCGGAGGGACCACTCTGTCCGTGACTCCCTTGTCCACTGCACACTCCCCTCCAGCTCCACCACACCCGGCACTTTTCCCTGCAACCGCAGGAAGTGCTACACGTGCCCCTACACCTTCCCCCCCTCACCCCCATCCCAGGCCCCAAGAAGACTTTCCACATCAAGCAGATGTTCACCTGCACATCTGCTAATGTGGTATACTGTATCCGCTGTTCCAGATGTGGCCTCCTCGACATCGGGGAAACCAAGCGGAGGCTCGGGGACCGCTTTGCAGAACACCTACGCTCGGTTCACACTAACCAACTGCATCTCCCAGTCGCGAACCATTTCAACTCCCCCTCCCATTCCTCAGACGACATGTCCATCCTGGGCCTCCTGCAGTGCCACAACGATGCCACCCGAAGGTTGCAGGAACAGCACCTCCTATTTTGCTTGGGAACCCTGCAGCTCAATGGTATCAATGTGGACTTCACAAGCTTCAAAATCTCCCCTCCCCCTACCGCATCCCAAAACCAGCCCAGCTTGTCCCTGCCTCCCTAACCTGTCCTTCCTCCCACCTCAAGCCCCACCCCCATCTCCTACCTACTAGCCTCATCCAGCCCCCTTGACCTGTCCGTCCTTCCTGGACTGACCTATCCCCTCCCTAACTCGCCACCTACACTCACCTTTACTGGCTCCATCCCCGCCTCTTTGATTGTCTGTCTCCTCTCCACCTATCTTCTCCTTTATCCATGTTCTATCCGCCTCCCCCCTCTCCCTATTTATTTCAGAACCCCCTTCCCCTCCCCCATTTCTGAAGAAGGGTCTAGGCCCAAAACGTCAGCCTTCCTGCTCCTCTGATGCTGCTTGGCCTGCTGTGTTCATCCAGCTTTACACCTTGTTATCTCTATCAATATATTTTTACCTGCTGATCTCTTGTAGGACCTTATTGAAAGCTTTCTGAAAGTCTAAGTAAACCGCATCAACTGGCTCCTCCTTATCAACTGTGCTAGTTCTCGAAATTTGTTCTGCATAATTTCCATTTACTGAATCCATGCTGATTCTGGCCAATCCTGTTATTTTTTTCCAAGTGCCCTGCTATAAAATTTTCCCTACTGCTAATGTCAAGCCAACTGGTGTATAATTCTGTTTTCTCTTTTTATCTCCTTTTTTTTAAAATTACATCAGCTACCCTCCAATTCATAGGAACTGTTCCAGAGTTAATAGAATCTTACAAGCTGCTTACCAGTGTATTCAGTATTTCTGGAGCCAATTCCTTAAATACTCTGTAGATTGACAGGCCTGTGTTGTTGTGGGACTGGAGTCACATGTAAATCAGACTAGGTAAGAATGGTAGGTTTCCTTCTCTAAAAGACATCAGTGAGATTTTTTACAGCAATTGATATTTGTTGCCATGATCGCCATTACGAAGACCAGCTTTATATTCCAGATGTATTTTTAATTGAGTGTAAATTCCAGCAGCTAGCATGGTTGAATTTGAACCCATGGTGCAGAGAATTCACTTGGTCCTGTGAATTACAGGAGCAATGGGCTGAAGGATCCTTTTTCTATACTATATATCTCAGATTCTATGAGTTAATAATCCAGTGATATTACCATGCCAACACCTCCACATCTCTTATATTCCGAACTGCACGTAGTCCTCTAAGTGTGGTCCAGTATGACTCCAGGCCCTTGAATTCTAGTCCTGTAGAGAAAAGGGTCATTTGTCGTCTTGAATATTTTCTGTGCATGTTGATTAAAATTTATGATTGAATTTATTTGGACCTTTGGTGTTTCTGGTTTTATCATTTATGAAGAGCTCTATTCCATCCTTTTAGCTCCAAGGTGGAATATCTTGCATTTGTCTATGTTGAAAATAATTTCTTGCTAGTTTATCAATTCATTTCAGTTACCAGTATCTCTTTGCCCTCCCTGCATTGTAAGCATAACGTTACAAAGGATGTACTGGTAGGATTAGCTCGGCTGCTCTTCCATTAGCTGTCATGGACTAATGGCCTTAAAGGTCTCCTTGTGTGCTTTTTAAAAAAGAATTATTTAAGGGATGTACGTATTACTGGCTGGGCCAACATTTATTGTCCTACCCAAACATTGTTGAGTTAGAATGGTTCTGTATTCATTCTGTCCATTTATCTGTGTGCTATCAGTTTTGTTTGAGGAAAGTGGTTCTGGAGTTTGGGTGTAAGTGTTTGGGAAGTCTCTTACAGTAGGAATGCTGGCTGTGGTAGCATTGGTGTTTGGGAGCACAGGCAAAGGTGTAAATGGGCCCATAGAAGTTTTTGTGTTTGGAGGTCTGGCAATGGTGGTGGGAGGCAGCCCCGTGGTGGAAGTGAGTGGTCACTACACTCAGATATTCCAGTTTTGGGGAAATAATTGATTTTAGGAAATGGGAGGGTGTAACAGAGTGGTTTTTTTTTCTATTCACTTGTGGGACATGGGTGTTGCTGGCTGGGTCAGCATTTATTGCCTGTCTCTAGTTGCCCTTGAGAAGGTTATGCGGAGCTGTCTCTTGAATCACGCAGTCTACTTGCTGTCAATAGACGTACAACGCTGTTTGTGAGGGACTTCCAGGATTTTAACTCGGCAACATTGAAGGAACTAAGTCAGGATGGAGGAGAGCTTGCAGTTGGTGTTCCCACGTATTTGCTGCCCTTGTCCTCCTCGATGGACGTGGATGAGAGTTTGGGAGTTTTTAAAATTAAAATTTAAAATTAATTGCAATACAATTTGAGATACACAACTATTAAACTGTGTAGAATAAGCCCTTTAAATTGCTTAGTTTTTTTTGTTGTTTGCTTTAAAAGTTTGAACTCTGGACTGAGGAGCAGCAAGGCCAGAACAGAAAGAAAGCAGTGCCATCTAGTGTCGAATGATTGAAACCTGAACACATTTATCCATTTAAAAATAATGTAAATAACATTACTAATAGAATTCAGCTATTACCAAGTAACCAATGTGCCAATAAGTCTGGATTTGAAAATTAAAAAATACTGATCCCATAAGTATGCGCAACTCTCAATTATAATGTGCTAGTACATCTAACCATCTCTTTAAAGCAAATTGAAGTCATACTTTTATCAACCTGGCTTTATTGATGCTTCTGTGTGACTGTCTTTTGCTTATGTCTCCTCTTGTGTCTTATACTTCACTCCGTAATTCCTTCTGCTTCTCTTTGCTTCTCTTCGCTTCTCCTCACTTCTCCTTATCTCATTTCGTATGTTTCTTTCTTTTTCCTCCCCACCTCCCATTTTTGAAGTGGGTTTTCCATCTGTTGTCATTTTGTTTTTGCTTTTTTTTTTGTTGCATCCACTTGTTCTTGTTTGCTACTGCCATTCTGGGTTGTGGGTGAGGGAGTTGCTGAGCAAAGGAAATAGTGTTTATTGGTGTCAGTTATAGGACACAAGTCAGGTGGGAAAGGAGCTTCTGACCATAACCGTCTACACCTTGTGCTAAGTCAGAAATTACATAACGCCAGGTTATAGTCCAACAGGGTTATTTGAAAACACAAGCTTTCGGAGCCTCCGCCTTTCTTCCTGAAGAAAGACTGAGGCTCCGAAAGCTTGTGTTTTTAAATAAACCTGTTGGACTGTATGTGTGATTTCTGACTTTGTCCATCCCAGTCCAACACCAGCACCTCTACACCTTGTGCTCGATGTGGGATGTAGATTAAGGCTGAGGAAGCAGCTGCTAAATCACATACATCTTTTGGCCAAGTAAAAGCCAATAGGAGATAAGAATGATCTAGGAAGAAACCATATTTCCTGCAGTGAGGAAAGGGAGGATATATATAAAATGATGAAATGTAATGGGGTTAGGGCTGTGAAGTTGAGTGGAACTGGAAAGGGAATTAATCTGGTGAGAAGGATTAGCTCGTTTGCTGTAGTGCCATTGACTGTAATTCCTTGGAAGAGTTTTAAAAAAATGTTTTTGGGAATGATGACAAATCGGGTGACAGGAAAAATATGAAGTAAGATTGGAACCAAGAAATGTGCACAGAAGAATTAGCAATTTCATTTGGAATCATAACCTAGGACGAAATTGTCACCTAAAAAGCATGGATTAGAAGGTAATATTAGTTAAAAACAAATTGTGCCTGACTAATGTAATTGTGCTTCTTGATGAACTCGCAAAGAGTTTTGACAGTAGTGAGGTTGCTGTTACTTATTCTGATTTTCAACAGATATTTGATAGGATGCCATCTCATAGACTTCTGGGTAAAGTTAAAGCTTTTGGCGATGGCAAGATGGATGTGTAATTAGCTACATGACAGAAATCAAAATTTGTGGACCGTTTTCTCAGCCATGAGAAAGTGTATGTTCCTCAAGTGTTGATATGATCTTTTTGAGATATCTAAGACTTGAGTAAAAAGAGCATAACAAAGTGTGCTGATGACTTGAACCATGAAAATACAATAAAGAAGGAAGAGGCTAATGACAGGGGCACCAACTTAAAACTGAGATGAGAAATTTCTTCTGAGGGTTATGAATCTTTGGAACTCTCTACTGTGGAGAGCTATGGCAGCAGAGTCCTTGCGTATTCTTAAAGCTGAGTTTCTTAATCCATAGGGGAATCTAAAGTTACAGGGAAAATGCAGGAAAGTGGAAGTGAGGAATGTCAGATCAGCCATGATCCTAATGAACGGCAGAGCAGGCTTGAGGGACTGAATAGCCTACTCCTGTTCCTATTTCTTATAATCTTATTATCTAACAAATTGTTGAAATGGGAAGAAACATGACACAAATAAAATTTATTTGTGTCTTTATTCATTCACAGGATTTAGGCATTGCTCGTTCAGCTAATATTTTTATTACCTATTCCTAAATGTTCTTGAGAAGGTGTGGTGAGCTGCTGCCTTGAAGTTTTGCAGTCTTTAGGATGTAGGTATACTTATAGTAAAGAGAGTTCCAGGATTCTGATCCAATGGTGGTGAAGGACGCCTATTGTATGGGATCGCATTCATAAGTTGCATGTTTGTAAAGCAGGGTCTCCCTGTATGATTTTGGTCTCCTTTAATGTATATATTTGCACCAGAAGCAGTTCACTTGACTGATTCCTGGGATAAAGGTGTTATCCTGTGGAAAAAAGTTTGGTCTTAATGAGAAATGATTGTATTGTAATATAAATCATGAGGGGACTGGATAGGGTAGATGCTGAAAGGCTGCTTTCCCTTATGGGAGAGACTAGAACTAGAAGATACAGTTTTAAAATAGTATCCCATTTAAGACTGATGTGAGGTTTAATTTTCTCTCTTAATTGGTTATTAGTCTGTCCCAGGGTCTATGGAGATAGGTTCCTGAATATCTTTAAAGTTGAGTTTTATAGATTCTTGATTGCAACAGAATGAGTATTGGGTCTAAATAGGATAGTAGAGTGGAGGACACAATCAGACCAATCATGATCTTACCAAATGGCGGAGGAGTGGCTGAATGGACAATCATATGTAGAATCTGAAATATTTGTTGACCAACTACCTTTTAAAAAATTTTTGTAGTAATTTTAAAATATATCATATTGCATATAGCATCATCATAGGCTGCCCTACACATGCAGTTCAAGTTATGATTGAGTTATTGTAAGAAAATCGACCAGCTTTAACAACATTAGTTCAGAAGTTTTAAAACATCATTCATGGGATGAGGGTGTCACTGGCTAGGCTAACATTTATTGCCCATACCTAAATGCCCAGAGGGCAGTTAAGAGTCAAACGCATTGTTGTCGGGCTGGAGTCACCTATAGTTTAGACCAGGTAAATATGGTAGTTTCCTGCCCTAAAGGACATTAGTAAACCAGATGGGTTTTTCCTGACAATTGATAATGGATTCATGGTCATCATTAGACTCTTGATTCCAGATTTTTATTGAATTCAAATTTTACCATTTGCCACAGCAGGATTCAGACCTGGGACCCCAGAACATTACCTGAGTCTCTGGATCAACGGTCCAGTGATAATACCTTTAGGCCGTTCCTTCCTCCAGAGTTGTAGCAATACATTTGTTATTATTTAACATATAACTCTTTTAACTCCTTTTATTTCTCTCTTGGTTGCAGTTCCTTGGTTGAGGTTCTATTAACTATCATGCTAAGTAAAAACCCTTTTTTAATGATGAGATTCCATTTCACTCAGGGAGGCTGCTCCATATTCAACAAGTTGCTCTAAAAACACTGCTCACACTTTGACAGCTATGACAAATTTTACCCACAACAGCTGAGATAATCCACATGTTCCAGGCCAATGACATTCTGAATAAAGCAATCTGCAACATTCTTTTAAACACAAAAGGCAAATCCATTGTATCTCTCAATTTTAGCTAACCCTTTGAAAATGTCTTGGATCTAGATCCATATTTTGGTCAAAAACTAATCAATTTTTTCCCTACTTGTGTTCCCCATTTTATCGAAATTTGTCCCTAAACAGGAACTTGCAAGTCAGCCCTGACTTGCAAGTGGAAAGAAATAATGGAGCAGATATGGGATTGGCAGTCAGTTTTGAGTCGATAAAGATGCTGTTTTGTTCCCCCCCCACCCCTCCAGCATGTTCTGCTATTTAATAAGATCATGGCTAATCTGATTGTAAACTCAACATCCCATTCCCATATATGCCCCAAAAACCTCTTTTCCCCTTCCTTATCAAAAATCTATCCGCCTTTGCCTTAAAAATATTCAAAGGCTTTGCTTCCACTGTGTTTTGAATAAAAGTTCCAAAGGTTCATTACCCTCGGACACAAAAACTCACATTATCTCTGTTTTAAATGGGTGACCCCTTATTTTTAAACACTGAAACATAGAAAATAAGAGTGGGGGTAGGCCAATGGACTCCTCAAGCCTGCTTCACTGTTCAGTTTGGTCACGGCTGATCAGCCAAATCAATACCTTGTTCCCATTTTCTCCCCATATCTTTGATCCCTTTGGTCCTAAGAACCATATGTAATTCCTTCTCAAAAACATTCAAGTAACTTTTAGGAGTTGGTGTCAATTGTAATGGGATCAATTAGAATTTTTAGATATTGGTAAAAGTAACCTGGTCATCTTTGACCTGGAAACAATACTAACAGATGGAAATAATTCGTTGAAGGAAATTGCAATCAAGCGAACTTGATCCTTTTTTTCTTCTTGGGACCTATTTGAATTCCATTTGTTAAACTGTGTTTGTCCTTGTGTTTAATAACTAAAGCTTGTAGCATTTAATCACCACCCTGGCTTACTAAAGCCGTCTCTTCATAAATCAAGAATTGAGTCAGGAGGAACTTCTTCACCCAAAGGGTTGTGAATCTGTGGAATTCCCTGCCCAGTGAAGTGGTTGAAGCTACCTCGCTGAATGTGTTTAAGGCAAGGCTAGATAAATTTTTGAACAGTGAAGGAATTAAGGGATATGGTGTGCGGGCGGGTAAGTAGAGCTGAGTCTTAAAGATCAGCCATGATCTTATTGAATGGCGGGGCAGGCTCGAGGGGCCAGATGGCCTACTCCTGCTCCTAGTTCTTATGTTCTTGTGATATCTAATCTTCTACATTGTGATTGCAGCAGAAAACACTTTTTTATTAGAGTGAAACTAGAGCTAAAGTAGAGTAATCCAATTTTCATTGAAACAGAAGACAATATATGAATGAAAGTTAAGTGCTCGAACTTCCTAAAAAGGTGATGGAAGTGGAGTCTTTGTTTTTAAGGCAGAGGTAGCTAGATTCCTGATGAGCAACATGGTGAAAGAGTATCAGGTGCAGGTAGGAATGTGGCATAATCCTATCAGCTACGATCTAATAACATGGTGGAGCTTGAAGGGGAGGCTGAGCAGCTTACTACTTTTCTGAATTCACCTGTTTGTAAACATTTCAGTTAAGACAAAAGCTAAATCCTAATTCTTCTGTTTTTACATGCTTGCCCCCCTAGAGTAAGTGAAGAGAAAGAAGAAACTGTAGAACGATTAAAGGCAGAACACGAATCATTTGAAAAGAAAATCAAAGAACTGGAGGATCAGAATGAGCTCATTGTCACGGAACGGGAAGATATCCTTAACTGGTCTAAAATTTCATGTGATGTACATTTAGTGGAATCCATCTGTATTTTGTGTTCAGAATGCGTACTTGTAGTTTGAAACAAAAAGGAATGTCAGTGATAGGGTGAAGAGAGGAGCAATTAAATGACAAAAGTATTTGTGCCACACTGCAGTGTGGTAATGGAACAAGTTAGAATCAAAGTGTATGTCTGGATGACTAGGTGTGAATGCCACAATCCTGAACGGCTGCCATCTGAAAGTAAAAGATAATTGTGAGGGAGACCATAAGATGAGGAGCAGCAGTAAGACCGTTCAGCCCATTGAGCCTTTCAGTGAGATCATGGCTGATCTGATAATTATCAACTCCGCTTTCCTGCCATTTCCCAATAACCTTCGATTTTCTGACTGATTAAAAATTTGTTTATCCCAGCCTTGAATATGCTTAGTTACCCAGCAGCTATACTATTTTGGAGGTGACAAAAGTGGTAGGCAAGTACACCAGCTCCAAGTGAAACACCACGCTGTAGTGAAAGTACACTGCACAGGAACAGGGCCTTGCCCCACCAAGCCTGTGCGACACATGATGTCTTTCTAAACCAAAAACCAGTCTGTATCCCTCCCTTCCCTGCCTATTCATGTATCTGTTAAGATGCCTCTGAAATGTTGCTATTGTATCCACCTCCATCACCACCTGCAACCATCTGCTGCTACCACCAGCTCTGGTAGCAAATTCCAGGCACTTACCACCCTGTGTGTTGCGGGGGGGGAAAGCATTTGTCTGTCACAGCCCCTTATAAACTTTCCGCCTTTTACTTTGAAAGTATGTCCCCTAATAATTTTCATTTGAGAACTTTTCTTGGAAAAAGACCCTGAATATCCATCCTGTCCATACCTGTCATAATTTTGTCAACCCCTATCAGGTCGCCCCTCAGCCTCTGGCGTTCAACAAATCGAGCTTGTCAAGTCTCTCCTTTTATAGCCAATACCCTCCAACCAGGCAATATCCCAGTAAACATTTTCTGTATCCTCCAAAGCCTCCATGTCCTTCTGGTAGTATGGCGACCAGAACTGTATATAGTGTTCCAAATGTGACCTTACTAAAAGTGTGTACAGCTACAACGTGACTTACCAATTTTTATATTCTATGTCCTAACTGATGAAGGCAAGCATGCCATATGCTGCCTTGATCACTTCAAGTTGTGTTGCTACTTTTAGGGAACTGTGGATCTGTACGCTTAAATCCCTCAGTATGTTAATGCTTCTAAAGATTCTACCACTTATATACTTCCCTCCTACATTAGAACTTTCAAAATGCATAACCTTACATTTGTCTGGATTAAATTTCATCTGCTGTTTCTCTGCCCAAGCCTCCAGCCTGTCAATATCCTGCTGTATCCATCGGCAATCCTCCTCACTATCTACAGTTCTCCCCACCTTTGTGTTGTCCGTAAACTTATTAATCAGACTATGTATGTTCTCTTTTCTAAATCGTTTATATAGATATATAGAGAAAAACACTGGTCGCAGATCTACAATCTACCCTTCCACCTCTACTCTCTGCCTTCTATGACCAAGCCAGTTCTGTATCGTCTTACCGGCTCACTATGAAACCCTAGATGTATCTTTTAATGATCTTTCTCTCTTCACAAACCTTTGAAGCTTTTACAGTCAGTTTGTATATTCCCCACAAATCCTCTGTTTTCTTTTACTAAAAGCTAAATTGCTCCCAATTTTCAAGTCTACAATTTTTTTGACCAATTGTATGCCTGTTTTTGAACCTAATCTAATACTGTTCTCTTATCAGCCATGTTTAGGCCGCCATTCATGTCATAGTTTTTTGCCGGGCAATGATGAACAATCGTTGCACTTCTTCCAAGCACTGTTTAAAAATGTTTGCCATTGCCTATCCACTGCCATTCCTTTAAGTAACATACCCAATGTGTGATAGCTAACTTGCACCTCATACCGTTATAGTTTCCTTTATTTAGATTCAGGGCCCTAGTCTCAGTATCAACTACGTCACTCTTCATCTTGATCAAGAATTCTATCATATTATGGTCACTCTTCCCCAAAATGCCTTGCACAGCTCAGTTGCCAATTATTCTCTTGTGATTATTCAATACCCAATCTAGCATGGCCTTTTCACCAATTGATTCCTCAATTTATTGTTCCAGAAAACTATTTCAAACATATTCCAGGAATTCTCCTCTACAACATTGTTACTGATTTGATTTGCCCAATATATATGTAGCCTAAAGGTGGGCATAATTATCATGTTACATTTGTTACTTGCCTCTCTAATTTCCTGTTTAATGCCATACCCAACATTACCCTTACATTTTGGGGGTCTGTGTACAACCCCCATTGTTGAGTGCATTATTTTGCATTGTGGCCTTTTTATTCTTGCGTTTGAATTCTCTACATATCACTTTTCTATTCTTTTATTTTAGCCCCAACTACCCTCTCTTCTGTCTCCCTATACAGGTTCCCATTCCCCTGCTAGTTTAGTTTTAAACTGTTCCCAGCAGCTCTAGCAAATACCCTTGCTAAGACATTAGTTCCAGTCCTGCCCCGGTGCAGTTAATCCAGTTTGTACGGGTCTTTGGTCTCTATTCCCTCACCAGAACCAGTCTCAATGTCCCAGGAATCTGAAACTTTCCTTCTTGAGCCATCTTTCAAGCCATGAGTTCACCTGGTATATCCTGCTATTTCTACTCTGACTGGCATGTGACACTAGTAGCAATCCTGATATCGCTACCTTTTTTGAGATCCTACGTTACATTTTGCTTCTTAACTTAATAGGACCACTTCCCTTTACCTATGTCATTTGTACCAATGTATACCATGACCACTAGCTATTTACCTTCTCACACCAGAATGTCCTGTAGCTACTCTGTGGCATCCTTGACCCGAGCGCCTGGGAGACAATATCCTATTCTGAAGTCTCGTTTGCAGCCACAAACATCTGACTTTTCTCTTACAATTGAATCTCCTATTGATGTACAGTTCTGCTCTTCTGTGTAGCAGAGCTAACCGTGATGCAATGAATTAGGCTGTTGCTATTTTACTCGTGAGAGGCCATTTACCCCAATAAAATTCAAAGCGATATATCAGTTTTGCGGGCAAACGGTTACAGTGGACTCCTGAACTGCCTTCCTAGTCTCTTTCTCTGCTTGGTTGTCATCCACTCCTTCCCTGCCTGTGGAATCACGATTATTTTGTAATTTTGGAATGCTATTAGTGTCTTCTACTGTGAAGACTGATGCAAAATATTCATTCAACTCCTCTGCTATTTCCTTGTTCCCCATTATTGTTTCCCCAATCTCACTCTTTAAGGGGCTTCTGTTCACTTTGGCTTATATATTTAAAGAAGATTGTTGCCCATCCTGATGTTACTTGGAAGTTTACTCTCAAAGTTTAGAGTCATACAGTATAGAAGCAGGCCCCACGGCCGGCCATGTCTATGCTAACCAACAAATACCAAACTACACTTGGTGCATAGCCTACTACGTTCAGGCATTTTAAATACCCATCCATGTGATTCTTAACTATCGCAAGAATACCTGCTCCCTCCATTATCTTGGGCAGCATGTTTCGTATTTGTGCAACCCTCTGGGCGAGAGAACTTTTTCAGATCTCCTCTAAACCACTGACTACTTAATTTAAAATTATGCCCTCTGGTCTTAATCACATCTGCCATAGAGAAGAGATTCACATGATCTACTGTCTATGCATCTCAATTTTGTGCATCTCATAATTTTGTACACCTCAATCAGCCCTTCAGCCTCCTCTGTTCCAAGGAAAATAAACCCAGCTTATCTAGTATTTACTCATAAACGAGACTTTTCATCTCGGGCAGCATCCAAGTGAATCTCCTCTGCACTCTCTCCAGTGCAGTCGTGTCCTTCTAACAGTGTGCTGCCCAGAACTGCATACAGTATTCCACCTGTGGCCTAGCTAATGTTTTATAAAGTTGTGACCAGACTTCTTCCTTTCTCTGATATTCTACACCCTGGCTAATGAAGGCAAGCATCTGGTATGCCGCCTTAACCACCCTGTCTACTTGTACTGACACCTTCAGGGATCTTTGCACTTGTACACCAAGGCTCCTTTGTACCTCAGTACTTCCCAGGGAGCTACTATTCATTGTGTATATCCTTCTATTTTTAGACCCCTAAAATGCATCATCTCGCAATTATTGGGATTAAATTCCGTCTGCTATCAATGTCCGACTGTAGTCTGAAGCCATTATCTTGACTATCGACAACACAACTCCCCCAATTTTCATGATCATAGATCATAGAATCCCTACACTGTGGAAACAGGGTCTTCAGCCCAACAAGTCCACACCGACCCTTAGAACATCCCACCCAGACTCATCCCCTTTCACCCACCTAATCTAAACATCCCTGAACACTACGGGCAATTTAGCATGGCCAATCCACTTAACCTGCAAATCTTTGGAATGTGGGAAGAAACAGGAGCACCCGGAGGAAACCCATGTCGACATGTGGGGAGCGTGCAAACTCCACACACAGTCACCCAAGGGTGGAATCGAACCCGGGTTCCTGGTGCTGTGAGGTAGCAGCGCTAACTACTTACTCATTCAACCTTCTACATTCCAGCTCAGATTCCTGTCATGCAGTGCTGGTCACAGGTTTCCAATGACAATAATAATTCTCTACCATCACTCTTTGCCTCCTGTTTGCAAGTCAATTTTGGATCCAGTTTGCCAACTTGCCTTGGATCCTGTAGACTCTAATCTTTTAGACCAGCCTTCCATGTAGGACCTTGTCAAATGCCTTACTGAAGTCTATGTAAACCGCATCAACTGTACTACCCTCATCAATATATTTAGTCACCTTTTCAAAAAATTTAGTCAGACAGGATCTCCCTCTAACAAATCTCTGCTATCTCTGATCAATCCCTCCTTTTTCATGAATTGATTAATCCTGTCCTTCAGAATTTGATGTCAGATGAACTGATCTGTAATTGTGTGGCCTGTTCCTGCTGCCCTTCCTGAACAAAGGAACCACATTATCTATCCTCCATTCATCTGGCACTTCAGCTTTGGCCAGCAAAGTATTAAATATATCCACCAAAGCACCAGCAATCTCTTCCCTTGTGCCCCATGGCAGCCTGGGATGTATCTCATCAGGCTCTGGGGATTTTTGCACCTGTACGCCTGCTAAAACCTCTAATACCCCTGAAATAACTCCAGGTGCCAGTATCACATCACGAATTCACCCTCTAGTTACATGTGAACAGTCCTTGACTGTAAGTACTGCATCATAGAGTCAGGCACCAGAGTGACAGTATCTCTGGCATTCACTCTTTTCATGTGTTAGCCAGGGCTCCCTGATTGGACCAGATTAACAGCCCCAATCAGGGAACTCATTCTATGAGGCCAAACTGGCTGACATTGTTACAATCACTACAACCTCCTTTTATTAATCTTAACATGTTCAAGATATTCATCCCAACTGAAATCCCCAGCTACAATGTCTTTCTTCTCTGTGAATATAGATACAAAGTATTTATTTAAGACCTTGCCCACATCTACTGGCTCTCCACAGTTTGCCCTTCAGGTCTTTTATTGGTCCCACTCCTTTTCCCTGGTAATCATCTTAATCTTAATATATTTATAGAAAGCCTTGAGGTCTTCCTTGATCCCATCTGCCAAAGGTATTTCATGGTCTCTCTTTGCCTTCCTAATTTCCTTCTAAATAACCTCCTACATTCTCAATACTTTTGAAGAGCCTCCCCTGTTTTTAATGCACCATTCCTGACGCATGCTTCCTTTTTCTTTATCAACTCTCTATTACTTGCTATCCAGGGTTACCTGGACTCTGTGCCCTGCCTTTAATAGGAACACACTGGCCCTGAATTCTCACAGTACTATTTTTAAAAGACACCTACTTTCCAAATAAGATCAGAAGGTATTGGAGCAGAATTTGGCCCATCAAGTCATCCCAGAATTTGATCATGGCTGAAATGTTTCTCAACCCCAGTCCTCCTGCCTTCTCCCTGTAACCCTTGATTAATTAAGAACCTATCCATCTCTGTTAAATACACTCAATGACTTGGCCTCCACAGTCTTATGTGGCAATAAATTCCACAGATTAACCACCCTCTGGCTGAAGAAAATTATCCTCATCACAGTTCTGAAGGGTTGTCCCTTCACTCTTAGACTGTGCCTTCAGGTCCTAGTGTCTCTGACTAGAGGAAATATCTTCTCTGTCTCCACTGTATAGACTTAACTGTAGTTAGCTGCTCCCAGTCTGTTTGCCAGATTCTGTTTAATGGTAATGAAATCAGCTTTTCCCCAATTTTTTTTTTCCTTCATTGCATGTGGGTGTCCCTGGTAAGGCTAGCATTTATTGCCCAAATTAATTGCCCAGAGGGCAGTTCAGAGTCACCCACATTGCTGTGGGTCTGGAATCGCATCTAGGCTGGACCAAGTAAGGATGGCAGTTTTCTTCCCTAAAGGGCATTGGTGAACCAGATGGATTTTATTTTTCAACAATCGACATGGATTCATGGCCATCATTAGACTCTTAATTCCAGATTATTTTCTATCTGCCATGGTAGGATTCAAACCTGGGTCCCCAGACATTATCTAGGTCTCTGGATTAACAGTCAGCGATTTAATACCACTAGGCCATTGCCTTCCCCTCAGATTAGACACTTATGCACTATCCTTATCCTTTCCATAATTATTTTGAAACTTAAGAGTTACGGTCACTATCCCCAAAATGCTTGCGTACTGAAACTTCAACCACTTGACTGGCTTCATTAGGTCTATCTCTGCCCCATTTCTTGTAGAACCATTTACGTACTGGCACAACATGTTGTCCTGGATATTTTTAAAAATTCCACCCTGTCTAGTGCTTTTACAATAAGGTGATACTGGTTTGTTACCAAAGTTGAAGTACCCTACAAATATATCAATTTCTCACTCACCTTTCTGTGATTTGCCTCGATAACTGCTCCTCTATCTCCCTCTGACTGTTGGGAGGTCTGTACTATAATCCCAGCAAGGTAATCATCCTTTTTTTTTAATTTCTAAGCTCTAATGCCTCCTTTTTATTTCTAAGTTTTACTTTAGTTTCACTCGCACTTTTTCTTTAGTGATGGTTATTGTATTTATTTCGTTTTTTCTCTTTATCCCCCCTGGTTAGTTTGTAATTTTGGGAAGCTATTGGGTACTTCTACTGTGAAAAATGATGCAAAGAATTTCGTTAACACTGCCATTTCCTGGATCCCTATTATTATTTACATGGCCTCATTCTCCAAGGGACCAAGTTCACTTAGGCTTCTCTTCTCCTCCTTGTTATATATTTAAAGAAGCTTTTTCTGACTGTTTTGATGTTACTTGTAAGTTTATCTTCAAAGTTTATTCTCTCCCTCTTAAATTTTTTTGTCCACCTTTTGTTGGTTTTTAATATTTCCCTAATCCTGTCTTACCGCTAATCTTTCCTGCATTGTATGTTTTATTTTCTTTCAATTTGATGCTATCTTTATCATTTCTGATTAACCACAGTTAACTCATCAATTTCCTAGAATCCTCCTTCCTGTTTGGAAAACATCTTTGCTGTGAACTATTTTCTTAAATGCCTGCCATTGTTCTTCAGCCATCTTTGCTGCTAAACATGTTGACCCATTCCACTTCAGCAATCTCTAGTCTCATTCCTTTTTATTTACCCTTATTTAAACTGAACAGAGTTGTTTCCAAGCCAAGTTCATCTCGGTCAAACTGAGTGCTAAGTTCCAGCATGCTATGGTCACTGTTTCCAAGGGAATCTTTTACTCTGACATAATTTATTCACCATACCTCATTACACATCACTAAATCTAGCCTGATTCCTGGCCGAATCCTCAACATAGTGTTCTTAGAAACACACTCCGAAATCTTCCTCATGTCTACTTCTTCCAATCTGACTATCCCAATCTACATGAGATTCAAGTCACCTTGGATCAATATATTACTTTTTGTTACATGCCTTCATTTTACTGTTACGGGGCCTTTTGACTACTCCTGCCAATGTCATCTTTGTCTCTTTATTTCTTGGCTCCACTGATGTGGATTTTATCCAATCCAAGATTGTTTCTTGCTATTACACTTATTCTATCTTGTACCAACAGTACTACCCCAGTACCATTTCTTTCCTATCTACCCTCCTAACGTGTCACATACCCTAAACAGTCTCAACTTTGATCTCCTTGTAACTATGTCTCTGTAATGTTATAAGATCATAACTATATATCTGTTTTTCTGCCTTTAATACATTTTTTCCCACCTTTAAGTAAAGAACCAAACCATTAATTTTGCAATTTTATCATTTTTTTCCTGTTTTTGACCCTGTTTTAAAAAGTGTTCTGAGTGACCAGACTCAAAATGTTAACTCTGCTTTCTTCCCATAGATGCTGCCACACCTGCTGAGTTTCACCAGCAATTTCTGTTTTTGTTTCAGAACAAATATGTGACTGACTCTGACTCTGATTTACCATCTGCAGTACCATGGGAAAAGGACTAATTTTCTCTTTTGATACAAAACTTGAATGTCACCGAAAAGCGAGAAATTCCTGAAGTTTTTCAGCTTGCCCTCTTCAAGACAAATAAAAGAATTAATACCTGGATATTTTACAATTTGCACGTGGCTTGAATATATTCAAAGGAACCGAAAGATCGAAGCAAATAGCATCTTTGTTCAGTTGTTTCAGTAGAGTGCTAACTGTGCTAAACAAGCCTGCGTTTGCAAAACTCTAAACATGTACCGTTGATATGATTCTGCTTTAGTGCACTCAGGATTGTTCAGCAAATATGTCCTAGAGTGCACTAAAGCTACACTGACAACCAATTAGAATAATCAATTGATTATCATCAGATAATCATTTGAAACCATAGGAATATGTTCAATCCATTGACTCTTCTTGAATTACCAAAGAGCTGATAATGCCTTGGCCAGTCAGAGTGGATGTCAACTAATTAGCACCCTGTAGCATAAATTGTTCTGATTAATTTAAATTTTCATCCATTTATGCTGGTAATAAACTAATTAGCTAAATGTTTTTGCATTATAACGCTAAGTGGGCAAAGGTGAGTCATTAATTGAAATGATCTGCAGAGGGCAGCAGTCACCATGCTTTCTTGCTTTCCACAGTAATTGATAACTTCTATTTTTAATGTGTTCTTTCTCTCAATATCTTATTAGTCAAAGTTAGGTTTCTGCTTCCTGAGGCTCCAAACATTGTGATATTTCAATTTATAAATGAGTTTCCGAGATCAGAATTAGTACCTTGTTTTACTTAAAATGTTATTTCCAGAACTCAAGAGGGGAATTGTCTGGTTTGCTGTAATTATCTGCTCTGTTCGTTCTTAAGTCTAATGTCAGATAAGAAATTAACCATTATGTTGGTGGTTTAAGTATTGCTTCGAGTGAATGCCCACTGAGAATGGCAGATAATTTCAAAACAGCAATAACCTTTGCTTGATTTGAAGCAATTTTGATTGAAGTGATTATTTTCATGGTATTTTAGGGACAGACAAGTGAGGAATGTGTGTGTGCTGCACTATGTCCTTGAAATAATGTATTGCTGTGGAAAACATAAAAATGGTCAACACAAGCTTTGCAAATAACCACAAAGTATTTGAGACCCAGCTGAAATAACAATTGAGTTTGGTCTAGTTCTCACGAGTCAGATTGGACATCTAACAAATGGCCTTTTAGGTCACGTTATTAGCCCCCTGTCTAAATATTCAGAGACTGCGTTGGTTTGAAAAGTCTGGAACTGACTGAAGAATTTCTGTTTGCGTCTGTTATGGACAGATTGCAAGTTTTAAAACTAATCTCTGTCCTTATTCTCACCACATGTAGGTAGACAGATTATCATTTAATTTTTCACCCTTTTTAAATAATTGTGGCATATTTCCCCACTGCCCCGGGTTTGTGGACTCTAACTTTGTAAGGATAATGCTG